TCCCTGTGCCATGATTAACACACTACAGGGCCCTGGGACACACCTGGTGCCTGAGCTGAATGACCTGCAGGTACACCCTCTTAGTGTGCAGTGGTCCAGTTACCTCCATCTGTATTAGAATGGTGCATGGCCCAGACAACATCAGAGCCCAGGCCCAGGTGTCAGCTGAGAAGTCTTTCAGCAAGGCTGATGACACAGACTGCAGCAGCCTCTGCAGTGGCTTCCCCACCTCCCCTTGCTCCCCTGACTGCTGGGCTCCAGGAGACTGGAGAAGAGCCGTGCCCTTTGTGTCTGTCCCACAGGTTCTCCTTCTGCTTTTTGTTGACATTTTTACCTGTGCCATGCTAGGTCTCTCCCTGTGCCAGCTCTTGAGTCACGCACGTCTCCAGCTGCAGTTCTGTGCAGAGAAGGCAAAGATCACAAGGGCTGGTGAGGCCTTCTGAACTCCCAGACCCCAGGGGTGAGGCTGACCTTCACCTCCTGAATGGGCTCATGCAGTGTCTTGTGGACCAGCCAGGTAGCACTGGAGCGAAGGGTAACTGTGGGATAATGGACACTCACCTTCTGGAACACACAGGGTATGCCAGTTCCTCCACCAGGTGGATGCTCCCCGGTCCACCTGGACAGTCTGCCACTCTGCTTGCACAACTGCACAGCGGCCCCATCAAGGGGAGCAAGAGGAGGGAGGAGCAGGGTGGGGGGCTGCTGTGGACTCGCCCTTCTTCACCCCTGCTCCTAGAGAGAGCATCCAGGAGGATGAAGGTCCTCCGCCACTGAGCCACGAAGGCCTCTCACAACTGAAGGATCCTCTACCATCTCTCTGCTCTGTGCCTGGGAAGAGACACCAGCTCCCATCACACCTCTGGGGTGCCCGTGTCTATGGAGGGATCCACTAAGGTCAGATGCCTCTCCGCGCCCCCCATTTGCCCATTTCCTATATAATGAATTAGATTTATCTTTGGTTTTTATAATGCAAATACCTCTGGGAGAGTTGACGAGGCTTTAAACAACTCATTAAATTCGTCCTGTAAAGTGGGTTGAGCAAAGTGGGTTGGGGGACTCAGGAGGGCCAGGGAGAAGGGGTGTGTGTGTGTGTGTGTGTGTGTGTGTGTGTGTGTGTGTGCGTGCGAGCGTACGCGCTCGTGCATGTGTGTATGTGAAGACTCCTACATTCCCAGAGGGAATTTGGTTGTCAGAGGGAGAAATGGCTCTGGGTTTGCTTTTCACCTGGAGGCAGCTGGCTTCAGGGCTATGCCCTAAGCATGCTCGGGGTAGGACGGGATGTGGACATCGGCCTGCTGCTCCTACAACCCTAGACTCCCACAGACCAGTTTCTCTTGGCCGCCCTCAGGAGATGAGTGTGTAGATCAGCAGATTAGGTCTTCGAAGTGCAGACTGCTGGGAGAGGAGCCAGCAGCCCTCCTTAGTAGCCCAGGGGGGAGGGCAGGCTTCAGAGCAAGGTGAATCCTGGGCACAAAGCACGTTCTCGAGCTCCCACATCGCCTGCTTGTCCCCAGGCCCCCTCCTTCCTGCCTCAGGTGATTTCCCAAGCCCTTGTCTTACTTCCAGGTGGAGCTGCCTTCAACCCTGACCACCTCGCTGCATGGGGTGCCACTCAACAGCTGTCTCGTCTCGGGCTCCCTCTGCAGCTCAGGCTAGAGGAGCCTGTGCAGGGAACAGGCACAGCCTGGAAGGATTGCAGCCCCAAACACAAGGCTGAAAGCAGTCGGCCCCTCTTCCTCTTCAGGACCCCTGAAGCTGAATTAAATAAGCAAGGCTTCCAACGCTCTGAGCCCTAGGACCAGGGTCAGAGGGCCCAGGCTCAGTGGTCTAGGTGGGCGCTCACTGACACCACCAACAGCCAGGTTTCCCTCCCTGGGGTCTCCTCTGAAATAGAGTTTTAAAAAATGAACCAGAGTGAGCATCATGGCCTCTGCAGTAATGACTGACTGCTGACAGCAGCAGGGCTCTGCTGACCCTCAGAGGGGCTGCTTTTCCTATGGGGCATGAGAAGTTCTCTCTGGAAGGTCACAGACCAGAGAGGTAATGGAGAATAGGAAAGCGGGTTTGATGGTAAGATTTAATAAGGCCTGACATTTCCAGGCCTAATCCTCATATATATTCCATTATGGTGATGTCCAAGACAGACCACCAAGATGAGGCCATCTATGCACAGAGGGGGAGAAGGCGGGTGGTGGAGGGGAAAGGGAGAACTTTAGTCATAAAAATAAGGGCTATCACAAGTAATCACAATAATACTCAAAAAAAAAAAAAAAAGAAAAAACCAAGCCCTGATTTCTAGTTCTCAAATAGCACCCCTTAAATTATCTTCCAAACGTCAGTGAAACCCTAAACTCAGCTCTTCATATGATTAAAACAATAAAATTCAGTGCAAAATTGAGCATGTTAAAAACCACGTCATGAAATGGTGTGGTGGAAAGCCAGGGAGGAGAAGAGCTAAGAGGCTTCCTTCCGACTCAGCCTGGACCTGACCCAGGGCAGTTGGAGCCAGCTGCAGGGCCTCTCTGGGGCTGGGCGGAGAGTCTTCAGAGATTACAACAAAAGAGAGCTTAAAACTTGCTTGCAAAAGCCAGCAGTTCCCATTCTTGACTGTTGGAGCCCAGAAAGCCAGGCCAGGGTCCACCCTGCCAGTGGGAGGTTACATCTTATTAAGGCACTGTGCCATCTGCCCTCCACGGAATGAGTGAGCTTGTGCAATTTTTGGATGGTGCAGTTCTTTAAAACAAAGTGATAAATTAAAGTGGCCACAGTAATGCAGCAAAAATGTTCCATGGATGGAAACCATGGCCATGGTGTTCAAGGCAGGGGCGGCTGGAAAGGTTCAGCATCATCTCTGGGCCGAGTTAAAAGAGTATCAGGCCTGTCCATCTGCTGTTGAAGTCTGGAAGCTGTGCTGTGTCCGTAGCCTGCCTGGGCAGGAGAAGTTTCTAAAGAGAATTTGGATTGTTTCTGGATCCCCAGTTAACAGAGAATCCATTGAGGGGGAATAATTTTCTTCCCAGGAGTCCCTGCCTGGCCTCGCTAGGCCAATGTCCCATGGTTCAGTGGCCCTGCTTTTGGTCATCTCCGGAAGCTATCCACTCTCCCCAAACCCCAGGCCCTATTTCTCCACATGGCACTTTGCTAGGTCCCATGTCCCACGCACCCTCATGGCCCAGCTTAAACCCCTGCAGTTCCTGGGTTACCCAGTCTGTGCTGGCAGCTCCTTTCTGTCCTCTCCAACTGCACCAAGGGTTGCACCTCATGGGGCCCAGCTGGGTGTCAGGGAGGAGGGTGTCCTGGGAGCAGCACGGACGAGGCAGTGGAGCATGCCCAGTGATGCCCAGGAGTGGGAGAGAAGGAGGGAACATGCAGGAGGAGGCAGGTGGTTGGGTTCAGATCCTCCCCAAGAGGTCACCTCCCCAGGAGGTCAGTAGCAGCCCACGAGCTCACATCCAGAAGCCTCTGTGATTGCCTGTAGCATCACAAAAGAAGCAGATGAATCTCTGTTCTAAAGCAGAGCACGAGGGGACGAGGAGGGTAAGAAGTCAAGGTAGCCTGGGAAAGCGTTCTGACTTTGGTTCCCCTAGCAAAGGGTCACTTTCTGTCATTGTCCCATCTCTGCTTGTGCTTTGGAAGGGGTGTGTGTGTGTGTGTGTGTGTGTGTGTGTGTGTGTGTGTGTGCACGCGTGCACGCATGTGCCTTACTGGACTCCATGCTCCCTGGGGTGGTCCTAACATGGGTACTGTCCCCAAAGGTCTCCATGTTAGAGGCTTGTGGTACTTTTGGAAGGTTCCGTGGGTCTGTAGAGATGGGGCCTTGCTTAGCCGTACAACACCAGCTTAGCTGCCAAGGCCCTGGGTTCAATCCTCAGCATGCCTAGCAGCATGCACACATACATATACACACATACACACAGTGCAGATCACTGGGATGTTCCCTCCAAAGGAGTCCTGGAACCCTGGGTCTCTTCCCTTGCTCTGCTCCTACCTGGATTTTCGATCACTTGGTTGCTCCTTGGCACACTCCCACCTTGATGGGTGTCCTCCCTGAAGGCCAAACCAGTGGGGCCCCCCAAACTGTGAGCTATGTGAACCTTTTCTCTTCAGAAAGGGAGTCCCTCTGGTGTCTCACTGTAGTACTACAAAGCCTGCTAACACCCTCGCCAGGTCAGGCCTGCCCTTTTCATCCAGCCTTGTCTCCAGGGGTGAGCCCAGGGAGTCAATAAGTGCGTGAAGGATACGCACCCTCAAAGTGCTGGTGGCGTTTACAAACCTGTTTAAAGAACAGTGTCCCCACAGTGGGGTGTTAAGGAGGGAGTGACTTGGAGTTGGCACATGACTTTGAAGCCTGAGATGGTTCTGGAGTTTGTTGGGATTTCTGTGGGAGGGCTCTATGTTTTGTCAGTGAGGATGCCTCTCTTCTCCATCTTGGCGCGCGTCCAGGTTTTGCGCTGCGTGCTGCCCGTCAAAGACCATCTGAGAACCCCCACCCCCACCCCCGCAGCAGCACAGTTTTCTGGCGTGTTTGGCTCCACAGCTGAATCTTGACCTACGGTTAACTGAGTACCTAGAGTGTGCCAGGCACCACTCTAGGAAGTCGACCTGTGTCTACTGGATCAGTCTAGTGGGATTGGGGTGCCAGTCCAGGCAGTCTGACTTCAGGGTCACCGCCTGTGACCAGTTCAGTCCACCACACTGCCCACCACCCCTTGTAAAGAATCCTATGATGTGATTTCTATTTTGTTTTGTTGAATATATGATTTAGAAACATTGACAATGATTTCAAACAATATGCATTTTTATGTGTTAACTTTGTGTTCCTGGTTCACCTTTGCATGACACTTCAAATAGGGCTGTGGTTTGCCTCAATTTTGTATGCACATCTAGAAATAATAACTTAAATAGCATCCCTTCACCTGGCCCTGGCCTGCCATTCAGTGACAATAACACACCATTACTCTATCGATTAATTTTACTTAATAATTATTTTGTGACTTTTTAACTTATTCCCTTTCTCCCAGTTTATTAATTATTTTCTTGGATATGAGCCCAAAACAAGCAAATCTATTACTTATTGAAGAAAATATTTACATCAAACCATCAAGGAAGTAGAACCAGGTGTCAAATGTTGAATCTGAATGATAGGAATACAGGGAACTTTCTTTTGATCACTTTTTTTTCTGTTCCTTTTATATAATCACACTGTAAAAATATGTAATTTACCCTACATTATAAAAAACTCTGTACAATTACAGTATTAGTTAAAATAAAACAGACTGGAATGCTCACAGGAGGCTTTCTGCACTGTAGAACCACCAGGGCTGGTCTGAGTGCCCTCCCCCCTTCTTTTCACCCCTCAGACCACAGCAGAGGCAGAACCAGGGATTCCAACATGTCCATCTGTCCTAGAGTACTGTTATCTAACGACAGTCCAGAGAATGGAATCTGGGCGTCCTGATGCCCTATCCTCTCTTTGTTCCTCAGATCCCAAACGAGCCAGCTTCCTGAAATTTTCTTTCTAAGGAGATTTTATGAAGCTGGCATGGTGGCCCACACCTAGAATTCCAGCTCCTTGGGAGGCCAAGGCAGGAGGATCCCAAGTCCATTGTCATTATGGCAACTTGGTGAGACCCTGTCTCAAAATTAAAAAAATAAAATAAGATAGCCTGGGATGGAGCTCTGTGGTAGGGGGGTGGGGCCCAGTTTCAATTCCCAGTACTTCCCAACAAACTAAAGGCTTCCCAGAAGTGTGAGCTGGGAGCCAGCTGACCATTAACAGCAGCCTGCCAGGGCAGGAAAGAGGTCAACCTTATGGGTCTTTCTGCACAGTGACCCTGGATGGAACAGTCCCCTGGTGCAGAGGAGCATGTGCTGTCTTTCCAAGGACAAGCCCAAGCCTGTGCTGGCTCTCCAGAGCCTGGGGGCACTGTAGGTTGGATGCCAGGCACCCCGGCAGGGCCTGAGCAGCGTCACAAGAATGCCAAGCTGGGGTCTGTTCTGAACATGGTTCCCTAGGTGCTTCCTCTGGGCTCCCAGGCTTTCAGAGGTGTCCTGGGCACACTGTCCTGCTGCCCTCTTAGAACTCAGCAAGAAACCCTTTTAATAAAAATGTCCAACATTCTGAAGATCTAAAGTCCCTCCCCTGGCTCCTCAGAGCCTCAGCTTGTTCAGCCTTAAAAGTCAGCGACTGACTCAGCTGGTCTCTGAGGACCCTCTGGCCCTAAAGTCCAATGACGAGACACATCTGAGGAAACCCTTGGACACAGGAAACAGGGACTGGAGTTTTCTCTCTTGAAACTTGGCTGGTTATCTATGCTCTAGTGGGGCCAGGGTCCTTGAGTGGGGCTGCCTCAGCACTGGACATGATCTCTGAGGAGGCTCCCAGTCCACTGCATGCCTCAGAAACTGGTCTCACTCAGGTCACTGGAAATTTGTTTTTTTGTAAAACTCAATAAACACTTGTAATGTAAAATAAAAGCAAATTGAAAAGCACAGGGAGCATATTATGAAAAATCAACAAAGCAGAAATATATAGAAAATCATGTGCATATGTCAACAGTTACAAAAATCATTTTGGGGGTGAGGTTATTCTACTAGCTTTATTTCATTTTGTTTTTTTCGGAAATGGGATCAAATGAAACACATGACTCTGCTTGCTCCACTAAATAATGTGTGTTGAAGTTCTTTGCTGCTCTGACCCATGGGCTTTAACTGCTACCCAGCAGATACACCAAGTTTTGTTTGCTTCTTTTTGTTAACCACTTTCTCTCTGTTGAACATGTAGTTTGCTTCTAGGGGTTTTGCTGTTGCAAAAAAACACTGCAGAAAACTCCCATTTTTGCTCACTTACTGGATAATTTCTCTAAACTGGATATTTAGAAACTGAATTATTGGAGTTTTGGCAATGCATGTTTTACATTTTTTAAAAATTTTATAATTACCTGACAATATTGGGGGAATCCTACGTGTGCACAGGAGCGGCCGGGGGAAGCCAAGTCCTGGTGCAGGAGAGCCAGCTGGTGCTGGAAGGAGAGGCCAGAAGCAGGTGGGGATACACTGTGAGGGAGGCCACAGTGCAGTGTCCATGAGGCAGGGCTGAGGCACGCTGGGCCCTGGTTCAGGCTGGGCCTGGGGTCGCAGAGCAACTGCGCCTTCTGGATGTATGGTGGGGTGGAGCTTCACTGGACGCTCCCAGGCTGCATGCCCAGAACAGAACCAAAGCCCCAATCTTCCTGCCACATCCCTGGCACCCTCTGCTGATGAAGCTAGACACCGTGTCTCCATCTCAGAGCAAGTACTGGAAGGTGAACCTGGGCTGAGACAGTGCATTGCCCGCTGGATAACTGGCGGGATGGTCAGTGGTGGGTCCACTCCTTCCTGGGGGCTGCAGAGGGTGATACTCTAGCTCTTCCATTAGCTTCTGGAAGGAGTGGGTCCCCATGTCCCCTCCTGGACAGCAGAGCACAGTGCGTCCACTCCACTGACAAGACGTGCCTCTTCTCACCAAGGTGGGCCTTCAAGTCCTGGTCCTCCCTGCTCCAGGTCTGGTCTGAGCTCCGCTGCGGCCCTGCTGCGCCCTTTCTTCCTGGTCCCTGCTTGGCTCCGGTGAAGCTGTTGTCTTGTCCCTCCCGAGGCCTCTTCCACCCACACGACCCCTCAACCGAGGGCACAAGTGCTGCTTTCCATCCCTCTCAGCTGACCTCGAAGACACCCCTGCAATGAGTGGTGGTCAGTTCTGTGGACAGAGAAGGGAGCCCTAGAGGAGAGGTAGGCACTCCAGGCCTGCCAGCTGGTAAGGGACAGCTGGGATTAGCGCGTGAGGCTGCTTAACCCGACCCTGTGCCGGGACCAGCAGGGCTCACCTGCCTCTTTGGACACCTTCAGGCCTCCTGGCTTCTTGTCACTTCTATGTTGTCTTCTCAATTTCCAGGTCACTGACCATGTTCTTCAGGTTGTGTCCTCCTGGCCTCACCGCTGGACACTCTCTGGGATCAGCCCCACAGCTAACCCAGGCCTGCATTTCCAGGTTGGGCTTTCTCTGGATGTAACCTGGAGCCACCAGATTGCGGTTTATTGTTGCTCTCAGAGAGGTGGGACACAAGCCAGGCCCCTCCAGTCTGGAAGGTTCTGTTTTTACTCCTCTACCTCATCATTCCTTCCCTCCCAGCCCGGCCCAGAGGGACTGAGGACAGGACAGGGAGGTCTCTCAGGGGCAGGCATCCTGGCAGGGGGTGGGAAGAGAGAGACCCTCCCTGAGACCTGCTCTCCCCATCTGCACTCCGGGAAGCCATGAGCCAGCTTCAGGTCAGCTGTGGAAACAGTGAAAATCCTACCAAAGTCCTCCTTCCCTCTCTGGCTTCTGGGCCTACCCCTCCTCCTCCAGACGCACCGGCTCCTGAGCCCCTCCTCCACCCCACTCCTTCCTCTGCCCCTCTCTCCCTCCTTTCCTTCCTCCTGCCCAGGCTTTACTGGCAAAAATCAAACCAAATAACAGAGGCATGAGGAGCAAGTAAACAGCCACCCACCTTCCCTCCAGGCCCTGGAAGCAGCTTTCTCACCTCCGCTGACAGCCTCGTGTATCAAAGGGCCTGGCTCTCGTTCAAGGCCAACGGCAGTGGCCCCAGAGTTATTGTGCTGAGATGAAGGAAAATCCAGGCAGTTTCTACTTTTAGGTGCAATTGTGTTTCTGGAAAAGCCTGTACATCCCATAATAGGAAATCCTGAGAGTGTGAAGACTGTTTCCTGCCAGTTGAAGCACTGTTGTCTTTGGCTGCTCTGACCACGGCAGAAAACCTCAGTACAGGGCGGAGATGGAGGGCGGGGCAGGCAGAACCTGCCAATGGGGCTGGTGAGTGAGGAGAGGGACCAACAGCAGTCCAGACAGCCGCAGAGGAGGTCCAAAATGCCATGAGTGCGGGGCCTGGGGAGGCGCAGCAGGACCTACCCCCTAATCTGATCACTTTGAAAAATAGTTGTGGGAATAGGGTCAGCTGTGTGCTTGTCATAGGAAATGGTGCCTGGTGAGGTGGCTCTCTTAGTGGCCCTGCTGGAGGGCAATGGCCACTCTTTGGTGACAGTGCTGGTAGAGATGGGGCTGGTGTTGGCCAGGTTAGAGAGTCACAGGTCCACTTATTTTAAAGTGAAACTGCTCTCAAAATGTTATCCCAAAAGGTCCAGAAAGTCCTGAAGCCATGTATCTCACCCTTCTACGCGCACAAGTCACCTGAGACTACCATGCTCAATGAGGATTCTCATTCAGTAGGTCCAGGACAAGGGCCTCTGCACTTTGCCAGAAAAGTGAGTTTCTCCAGCTGCTCACTGTGCCCTCCTCTGCACAGGCTCAGGGCTGTGGTGCCTTTCTGCTGCTCTGTATTCAGCGATTCCTTGTGGGTGGCGTGGGTGGCCGTGGGGAGACCCTGCACAACACAGATGCCCGCAGCTGCTCTGTGCACACCTCAGGTATCTTCTCTCCCCTTCCTCTTGTGGGGAGCTGGTCTGCCCCAGTAGACAGTGGCCCAGGGCATGACCGCTGGACCACTATGAGACTGATTGGGACCTGATGACAAGTGATTCTGTGTGCTCCATAATGTTGGGTTCCTGAGGGTGTATTGGCCTCACCACCCCTATCCACTCAGACCCTACGTCCAACAGCCTTAAGAGATCCTCTCTCCTTTCCTGAGTGTGGCATTACTGAGGGAATGGCCAGCTTCTCTGGAAGGAGTTGAGGAAGAGCTGCCACGTGTGTGTGGTGTGGTGTGTTGCAGGACCCTTCCTCAAGGGTCTCCTTCCTTTCAACCCGTGAACCCCGGACCGTGGAACGGATTCATCTAGCACTGGGCGAGGGATTGCAGGTTTCCATTGCAGTGAGTGGTGCCTGGTTTCTGCTCGTTTGATCGTGATCTTCTTGGTTGTTTGTATAAGGTAATACCCTCACTGGTTGCCCATGATCTCACCCTGGCACACCTTAGCTATTAGCCATCACCAGGGGTCCCTGAAGGTCAGACCTCCAGCTTGTCTTTCTGCCTCATTTCCCATTATGAATCATGACAATTACTTCTGCCTTTCCTGTGCTGGTCCAGGGCCTCCATGTAGCCTTTGTTATTCCAATAGCACAATCCCCATTGTCTCTGAGCCCAATTCAAAGGCAACATCTCCTACATGCAATATTGACCTCCCTAAGACAGCCACCACAGAGCCTACCAGAGAAGCAGGTGTCTCCCTAACTAGAGGACTCCATAGTACCCGAGTAGAGGGTGTGTCCTCCAGGACCTCACCTGAGCTGTGAGAGAGTGCCCCATGTCAATAGCTCTGCCCCCCTGCTTATCTTCCATCCCTGCCTGCCCTGCCTCTATCCTCCGAGCATCCACCCCATCCAGGAGCTCTCATTAGCCAGGCCCTGGGCTGTCGTGGTGAATGACCCCTTTCTTCCTACAGCAGGAACACTCCTTCCCTACCCAAGCCTTTCTTCAACTTGGCCATAATTATTGGTAGCAAAGAGGAGAGGCAGGATTGGCTCTTCAGGGCAGCAACTTTGTCTGGGGGACCTGGCTCAGGGAGAGCTTTTCGTGACTCCTGGGTGGGGAGAAGCTGCTCCTATCTAGTGGGTGGGAAGGGGCTACTTCTGCCAGCCAAGAGATTCTTGGGAATCTGGGGGTTGAACACTCTCAGGCATATCACCCCCAGCTCCCTGCTTGGCTGCCAGGTCCCACTCCTTATCAGGGTCTTTACTGCCCCATAGAGACCCTGCAGGGCTGTGACTTCAACCTCCTTCCTTCCTCCAACACTCAGTCAGGACCTAGATCTGACAGTCTTCATGATCTGCAGGAGATGAAAGCACTTAAATGGCGCCATGAAATCTTCTGGCCTTCACACTGTGTTCCAAGTTTATGATCAGCTGGCTTGAGCCTGTCATCTTCTTTGGGGTCAGTTTCAGTTAACTAATCAACTCTGGTCTGTTGCTGCCATATCTCTAAAGTGCCGGCGCTCTTACATTAGCAGGATGCATCTCCTTCCAGCAAATTCCATCTCAATTCACTGCAGATGACAATTTCACAGAACTTATCTGCAAGATAAGATGAAAAGCTTTCAGAGTCTTTTGAAACTCCACTTAAACCACCATTGGGGTCTTGTTCCCTTTGGGCATGTGAGTGATTCCATTCCAGACCCCCATCCCGAGGGTCTCATCCCAGGCCCACTGCTGGTGCCCACCATCCCAGGATGGGTACTCCCTGAATGAGACCCTTACACAAGGATCTGAGTGCAAGGCGTTTAACTGCAAAAGGATCCAGAGAGCACTAGCAAAGATGGAGCAGGGAATGAAGCCAGTATAGGACGTGGTGTCCAGCAGAAACCTCCATGGAAGCCTGGGGCTTAACTGTGCTGGGAAATGGGCAACACTGTTGAACAGCATCACTGCTGCCCAGGGATGAGGAAGCACCTCCTGTCATGGCTGAGTCCCGCTTCTGGGGGCATTCACTTGATGGCAGCCCAAAAAGCCCGGAGCAGAGAACCAGGAGTTCCAGGTGAAGAACTGGCCATCTCCCTGCAGGGGAGGTGACCCATGGTTCCAGGGACACTTTGCTCTGGGATGCCAGGAGTGGCCCCCTGGTGGAAAAATCCCACACACCAGCTCCTGTGGATTAACACTGTCCCTCTGGGTAACAATGCTGCATCCAGGGAAGAAAACCCCTTGAAGGGTGGCCCCTTAGGTGAAAACTTCAGGCACTGCGGTAGGAAGGTAATTTTGAGATTCAGGATTTTTTGGAAGGTCCTAACAGCACTGGCCTGCGTGGTCTTGGGGAATGCAGAACACGTTCCCATCCGCTGACCTCATAGCATGCAATGAAGACTGTGGCCTGGGAGCCAAGTGACATGCTCGGGTGGCGGCAGACTGGGGGCTCCATGGTGGGCCTTGTGATCCTGTGTCCCTAGGCCAACCTGTCCTGTGAGCTGCCCCACCACTCACTGTGAGAGGGTACCTGGGAGACACATGCACACACCATCCTGATGCTGCTCAGAAAGTCTCACACACGGGAAAACCTGAGGACTCTAAGGTGTCCCGAGAGGGAATCAGAGGAGCCCGAGCACTTGCGGGACCGTCTTCAAGTTAGAAGGGTTAGGGTCCTGATCAGCATCCTCCAATCCCTGGGATTGGCCCTGCAGGAGGCCCCCAGGTCCAGCGGGCATGCAGTGACCTTCTAGGCCCACAAGAGGGAGCCAGTGGCGCGGGCAGCTGTCGGCCGCACCAGCAGGAGGCTGGGCGCGGAGCCCAGGTGGGGAAGGAAGAGGTTCTGGGGAGCTGGACCTAGGCCTGAGAGAGACCCAAGCTCCGAGTGATGCAGAGGCGCTGACGTTTGCATTAACCGCGTTTAACGTAAAAACGCGTGCGTGGGGATTCCACGGTTAACTCGCACTGCCGAGTGTGCATGGTTTTCTGGACTCAGAGGACGAACGAGTGCAGACGCGTGGAAAGCCCAGCGCTGGGAACCCTGCGTGCGCGGCTGCCGGGGAGACGCCCGAGGCTCCTGGCCAGGCTGCCCTGGCCTCCGGACCTCCCTGGCCTGTGCATCGCCTTCTCTGTGGTTTTGGCCGCCGCGTGGCTGCCTTGAGCCTGCACCCAGCAGACAGGAATCCGCAGACATCGCCCACGGGGCCGCGGTTCCCACTGGACTGTTGCGATTCCGCCCTTCACGGAGAGAAGCCCTGAACGCCTGATGCCGCAAATGAGCTACCGACTTAACTGTTGGAACTTCACTAGAAACAACATCGAAGCAACCATTGGGGTTGCCTCTTGGAAACCTCTATTTAGAGAATGCGTTCTGTGTATCCTAGGGACACAGCTGTAAAGCAAGGAGAATAAAGTTAATCAAACACCATAGACCCCATATATCTAATTGACACTTTCTCTGTAAACCGCAAGAATCGATGTATTTATTCAAGGAATACCCAAAGCACTTGGTTTAGGAAATCACCTTGAGTCCATTTAGGAGAAATAAAAATAAAATCAATTTATGCCATGCCTTTTTGGGACTCCAAATATTACTGAAGTGTGTTTATTCATCTGACTTAAGCTATAGTGACGCAAAGCTTTTCTGGACATAAATCCATCCTGGAAGGATGAAGATCACCACACCCCCTGGAAGACAGGGATGAGCAGGAGCCAGAATCTACCAGTCTGGTGCCTTCATGTTACAGCTGGAACTTTCTGTTGGAAGAGGCTGGCCTCTCTAGCTTCTCACTGCCTCCGGGATCTCATGCTTCCTACACTGCTGACTGGGAGGAAAGCCTGCAGGTGGGAGCCACCTCGGCTCACTCTTAGCTTTTACCAAGGCTGATCTCCCTGGTCTGCGACCTGGGAAGTGGGAGGCTCCACCCTCCCCGATGCTTCCCAACCGCCTGCACATCACAAGTGCAGAAAGGGCTAACATTTGTATATAAAATTAAAACTAAAAACTAGCACTGGATTAAGAAGCCTCTCTATGAAGGTTGGTGGAAAAATCCATTGTGTGTTCCTCAGATGATGGTAAGTATGAAATTTGCATGGAACTTCCAAAGCAGATCTTTAGTGTTTTCAATGAGGAGCTTGAGTTTGCTTTTTTGCCCTTCATTTGTTTGCATGAGGTTTTATGCACAAGATGACCCCTTGCAACAAGTCCTTGAGACATTTTCATGATGAGGTCTTCAAAGTTTTGATAGTTACCATTATTGACTTTGCATCTGAAGATAAAAATTTTAAGCCCAACTTTATAACTATTCAAAATGTTACAACATTTGAAATTGCACCCAAAGAGAACCTAATTATCCTCCTTCTTGATTCATCAATAGAGGGAATGTGGGCCTTTTCTGTGGTGAGGGGAAAGATGTGAACTGCAGTAGAGTGCTTTCAGATTGAGTATTTCAAAGCCAGGGGCCCCACCTTGCCGAAAGCACCACTGTGGTATTTAGCTTGCAACTAGAGTGGAAGGATCTGGGGGATTTGGAGACAGAGATTAGGGCGCTCTGAGGGCTGGGGATCCCATAGGGCTTCCTGTCCCGGATTTACCCGCTGGCCACATGGTGGGTCCCTGGACCCAGGTTCTCCCACAGCTGCCTATTCCTCGTTCAGACAGGCAGTGCTGTCCCTCAGCTCATGGGTGGACCAGGTGGGGTGCTTCCTGCACTTGCTGCAGATCATTCTGCAGGAGCGAACACCAGGGTAACTTGTGCTGCTCCAGGCCCCTGGGCTATCAGGAAGCCTTGGGAAACCGGGGTCTTGGGAGCACTAGGTGCCCTTCAGAGCATCAGCGTGGTGCTACAAACCTCGCTGGGAAGTCATATTCTAGGTTGGGCTCAGGAGTGTTACTAACACCACTCAAGCTACTCAGCTAGAGGAGCAGGAAGGCGTCCCAGACCACAGCTCCACAGATCAGATGCCCACAGCCAGCTTTGCACCAGGGCCAGGCTCTCTTAGAGCTCACTGGGGTTAGCCACAGCCACAGGGATCTTGCTCTAGGGACCTGTTACTACTGAGATGAGACCAACAGCTTCTTTGCTCTTCAAAGTAGAATATCTAAGATTTGTTCCAGATGCATTTCGAACAATAGCATTAGAAAAAGTGGTCACCTGGTGTAAAGGAAACACCTCATTTGGAAGTTCAGTTTCTCATTCTGGCAAAGCGAGGCTCTTACAATCCTTAAACAGACTCCCTTTTATCCTCCTGGGAGATTCTGCTGACTTCTGGAAGTGTTTATCAATGCCAGGTAAGCTAGGCATGGGAGCAAGGGCAAGCACGCCCCCTGTGTGGGCAGACTCCACGGCCTTCCAGCCGCCTGTCGAGAGCCCTGTGGCCTGTACAGTCCTCTCAGAGGCCAGCTAGTGCCTGGGCGAGCCCAGGATTGGCCGGTCAGGAGTGGCTGCCAGCTGCTGCCACTTCCCTTCTGTCCGTCCTCCCCATACAGCCTCCCTGTGGGCAGCACAGGCGCCATCTGAGCCCCTGCAATGTGGCCCATCCCATGCCATCCCATCCCGTGCAGTAAGCTGTCCATGCCTGCGGGTCCTCACAGGGGGTGACTTGTATAGTAACCTCAGGGAAACACCAAGAATGGAGGCTGGTGACAGGAAGCACTTACAGTGTCCTCCACACGGTCCCCATCAGCAGCTGTTCAGACAGCAGTGCCACCATTAACTCTGCACGGCATCGCCAGCACGGTTATGTGGCTGGGAATGTCCATGGGAAGTGTCGCTCACCTCCCCAACTCCATCGCTTCTTTAAGGTTCCTTCCCTCAGAGTGCAGCTGCTGGCGTTGAGGAAGCCTGAAGTTGTCCTCACTAGCCGGGTTCCTGTATTGCCTCTGCTAGCCTCTCAGTGAACAGGCTGCTGGTGACAGTAGGGTAAGGGCCCCGGGTCCCCTGCCCCAGTTCTCCCGTGGCCGGGCTGTAGCCCTTTCCTGTCCTCTTTTGTGGCACCCTGGTGCTGGCTCCCTGGTGCTGCAGTGGGAGAACTGGAGTGGAGAGATGGTCTCCCAGGCCGCGGGCAGCCTGTCTGCGATGGCCCTTGGGGCCCCCTTGGACTGTTGGTGTGCTTGGCCCGGAAGGGTTGCTGAGTCCTGCCCCACCCTGTCCTCAGGTGTCATGATCAGCACCTGGTTGTCAACCCTGCTTCCCTCCCACAAAGCAGAATATTGCTCAACGTGCCTACCCTCTGTCACTGTTGTCCCCTCTGTCCCCACAGTGTCTCTATCTGGTGAGAGTTAGTGCTAGACAGCTCCTTTTATTCCTTGTGGTCAAGTGTTCATGCTCATCCCAGCCCCCACCTGGGGCCTATGGATAAGCCATGAAGAAAGTTGGGGTGTTCATTGCTAACCAACACCAGGGAGGCTGGGCAGGTGAAAATTCCACGGGGTACATTGACAAGTGTTGCTTTTTAAAACTGAGAGGTCCACGGCCCTCTGGTTAGCCCCCATTTTATACTGGTTAGTTGTTCACAGCCAATGGCAGGCAGAATGCCAAGACAGTCTAAGACCAGCACCCCAGCCCGAGTGACTCACCTTGCATCACCAGATGGGGAGAACAGCCCCCGCTCTAGCTTCCTTGGACAGGCCTGGCTCTTCAAAGAACCCCACTTCCATGCTGAGGATGCAAGGTTGCTGGCGAACTTGCTGAGAACCAACTGCATGAGAGAGATAGGAGACAAGTGCGTTTGCCTCAAATCAAACCAGAGGAGCTCTTCTGTGAGTATAGGAGGAGACGGAGGGACCATCCCAGAAGCTGCTGAAGCTCCTTTTGTTTCAGGGAACTCCCACCTTCTCTCCCTGAACCTGCATGGTACAGGTTGCTCCATCTTGGTCTACTTCAAGAAAAAGGAAACAGAACTAAGTGAAGTTGCAACACCCTGATTATTTGGAAGTCCCCAGTGTGCAGGCCAAGACTCTTTATTTCAGAAATTGGGTTCCTCTTCATGGGAACTACTGGTCCCTTTTGGTATGGACATCTGTGTAACTACTGGTATAGAAGTCACCATTAAGTGGGACTCTGGAACCTCACGATATTTACTCCCTTCTGATCTGTTCTAGGTTCTGATCTGCTTGTTGTCTGTGAGCTTTGGAATTCCCTCTGGTCATCTTTTTTTTTTGTATCTGTTACTGCTCCTCTTAAGATATGACCATATTGAACATATGATGCAAAGGAAAGACCACCAACTTCAATTTTAAACCAAATTAAAGCAAGTTTACATTGTGTACACAAGAGAGCTGATCAGCGACCACCTCATTCAAATGCAGGGCCAGAGAACAGTGTCTGGTCTAAGAGCAGGAAGGTTTTTATAACACAAAAATTTACAAAGGTGGGTATCTTGGGAGCTTACAGTTGACAGGGTTCTTGCAAGCATAATACAAGGGCAGATTGCAGGTTAATGATCTACATGGCTTAACATGTCAAGGTAGGGAGTAAACTCAGATTCCAAAATAAAAGTTAATGAGGAGCAGCTGAGATTTCAGGGAGGGTTGTTAACTGGTCAGGGAAAGTCAGGCATAGGTAAGTTCAAAGTATGGGCAGGAGTTCCAAGCAAGTTTAAAACATCAAAGTATGATCAGGCCAAATGGAAATCTTAGGACTTTACAGTAAAACAAAAATGATGTTTTGATGACTTTGTGATGAGATGGCTCTCAATCTTAAGATGGAATTAAGCTGGGTTCTTTAGCCAATACTGCATTGATCCTATAGATATCTCTAGGGAAACATATTGAAGAAATTTGTACATGCATATCTGTCTGTTTTAAAGGTTCCTGTCTCTCATCCTTGGTTTTGGTGGTCCTATCTTCATTTTTTTTGTATTTGTTATTGGCCCTTTAAGACATGGGCCATGAAGCATTGATCTTACTAGTAGTCTTTGGAGCCTAGAGAACTTAGCTGAATGTCCATGCATTAGTATAAACCTGTCTAAGAGAAAGGCAGTTGACTTTAACAGAATCTTACCTTTGAATGGTTTTTCTGGATTATTATACAATTCATAAGTTGAAGTAGGCCTGTCAGGGGTAAAGTATGTGAAAGATCCTGTATGGAAGGGCACTTATGAAGTTGTAAGATCAGGGTTCTCAACCATCAGGAACTAAGTGAAAGGTGCCAAAGGCATTGCTGCTGGTGTGCACGGATAGCAAGACACCAGAGGAAAGGGTCAAAAGATTTCAATCACTCCTAGCACTGTTCCTCATCTCGGCCCCTGTCAGCTACAGGTCATCTCACTGTGGGTCAAGGATACCAGCCCTAAACTTGGGGGAAAAGTCACAGAAAACTGCCTGGGCTCTAGAACAATAGCCAGAACTGGCCTCTGTCCTGCCTTTCTGCTCCTTTTGTTCTGGTGTGTGTGGGGGGGATGGAGGTCGCTGGCTACAAAGGATGTGATAGTAGGTCCCAGAACTGTCAGTTTATGTCCTGGGGACAGGAAGAGTCTCCACTGTTAAGATCTGACAGGAAACCCCATTTGGCCAGGGGATATTCATCAGTGGGACAAGTGGTTCTTGCTACAACACTATCCCATAAACTAAAAGCCTGGGGTGTCTGGCAGGACAAATAACTGCACCCAGAAAAGAAAAAGACAGAAACTAAGGACAACCTGTGTTTCATAGGCAGCCTCTGCAAAGGGATCTTCAAGAACCCCTAAAGAGAAAAATGGAAAGGGCTTCTTGAATTGCATATCAGTCTGCCTAGTATAAGAAAAGGCCCAAAAGGAGCCTCTGGGTACAAGTGACAGTGGGGAACTCACTTAAAGTTGGTGGCATTGTGACAGTGTTCATGGAGACAGATCAGACTCAAAAATTCCTTGAAAGCAACATGGGAGAATAAAGATTAAAATACAGTTTTTGTATATGCTGGGTTGTCCAACCCTCTCCTGGGATGAAATTTGTTGTGTAAATTAAGTGCACAGATAACATTCATAAGGATTGTTTTGGAATATGGATTTTAAAAATATTTCAAAACTAGAAAAGATAAAAGAACATTGCAGGTATAGAAATATATTTTAGTATGGAAAATTAGAAGGTAAGAAAAATGTTTCTGAATGAGAAAGTATTTTCTCTGGTAAAGCAATATTCTTGTGCTAATGTCCCAGATTAAAGATGACAAAATTAAGGAGTTAAAGTTGTGAATGTCTAAGTAAGTTGCAGAAAGTTTGGGGAAGGCAAATCTCAAAATTTTTTTGTGTATTTAAATTGGCTATAATTTATCTATCAAGATAATTTTCTTCTATTTGTTGGGCTTTATTACTTGTGGAAACTAAGTCTTAAAGTAATTAGGGTTTGTATCTGTTTGAAAGTCTGAAATGATTACTTTGTAACTGGTTAAACAACTGTTACTTAAACCTACCAATATAGATGACACCCTAAGTATGTGACTAGGTATAATGTATGCATCTGAGAACTATAGCTATCTAAGCTTTGTCTAAGTGTTATGTTAAAGTTTATAAAATGATGGGCTGAGGTTGTGGCTTAGCCATACAGCACTCACCTGGCACATGTGAGGCCTTGAGTTTGATCCTAAGCATCACATAAAAATAAATAAATAAATAAAATAAAGGTATTGTGTCTAAATACAACTGAAAAAGAAATATTTTTTAAAAAGTTTATAAAATGAAAGTGTATGTAAGTTTACCGTCAAGATAACCACTAACTGCTCTCTCTTTTTTTTTAAGAGAGAGAGAGAATTTTTTAACATTTATTTATTAATTTTCGGTGGGCACAGTATCTTTGTATGTGGTGCTGTGGATCGAACCTGGGCTGCATGCATGCCAGGCGAGTGCAATACCGCTTGAGCCACATCCCCAGCCCCAAACTGCTCTCTTTTATACATTGTATCTGACATTGAAGGGCCATGTCTTATATATTTGTTTTGAGTAAGACAATTTCTTATCATTAACTCTGTTACCTATATGTATAAGAGATTTAAGCCTATTGACTTTGTTAATCCATGCAGACCTGTGATTACTGTTACTATACACTCTGGATTCTGAATTGCACTTTAAACGTTAAACTTAGTTGAATGCAAAGCTTTGCCAAGTTGATGTTCTTCAAACTAAAATTATGTGTAGCAAAATCTCTGATTTATATAAAAATAACAAATTTGGTTGGTACTGATTCATGTCATTTAAGGTTTTATAGCTGGATCAAGTAATCTGTTGTGAATAAGTTATATATACAATTTGGTGTTAATCTTCCCACTGGAATTGGAATTTAAATGCATTTCTGGAAGCTAATAATGAGAGCCTGATCTGTTTAAAGGTGAAATTGTAAAGCATGGAAGCATTTTGCCACTTTTTCCACATAAAGAAAGTTCAAAGCTCTCTTAGCCTCTGTTTGAATCATGTTTCAGATGTAATGTATTGTGGCATTTGTCAGGACCTCCACCTTAACCGAGATCAAACTCTTCCTCCCACATTACTACATGTTACAATGGCTCCCAACAGGCTAGACTTGAGCTAATTTAGTGTTGTGATAGGTGGGGTTGTCTGGAGGTTGATGATAGCTCCAGTCCGGTAGGTGCTGGACTGGTTGGCTGGGCAAGTTGGTAACAAGGTACCCTCACACCCTCTTCCAACCTTCTGACCTGATGTAGCCAGCCCCGTGTGACCCCAGGTCCTGCCCACACCCCGCCCAGTTGATTGAAATCAGTTGCTCTTAGTGGAATAGCTGGATGCAAAATAGAAGCTAAGAAAGAGAAAGCAGTGATAAAACCACAGGACAGAGAGTGTAATTTTGAAAAGCAGGGGCGGGATGTGCTAGTCGATCTTAGGGATCAATCTTCCACACTAACATTAACAACATGGAGCCTGCATTTGCTTCATTTATATCACGGAACATCAAAGGTTTTCCATGGAATGGGCTGTCCAGTTTCCAACAGGTTATGCCCAACTCTAGAGTGATGAAAAGGATCTCCCTAGTAGAGCAGAGATAGAGGTCATGGGTTTGGGCAATCTAATACAGGGGGTGGGGGGAGTCTGTATAGTTCCCAAGGAAAAACCTAAATCTCCATGGATCGACAACCAGTGAAGACTCTCAGGTAATTTGCAGTTGGCTCCCTGCACCAACACACATCAGGACTAATGGAGCCCAGGAGCCCAGCTGTCTCTAGCATCTCTAACCAATGCTTCCCCCTGGCAAAATGCCCCCAGTCTGAATGTTCACAGGATTGCCTGGCCATGAACAACCCATGCAGACCCACTCACTGTCTGACAGATAAGGATGTAAGATACCCCAGGCTCAGCTATGTTGCAGTCCCAGGATCTCAATGCCATTCCAACTTGCAGAGAGACAATGAGGCATGTGTTCAAAGGAGTGACCCTGCAAAGAAGCAGCAAGATGGTGGCCACCAGCACTCCCAGGAGTACCATAGGGCAGCCAAAACCTAGGCACCCTGAAACTGGACCTCAGGCCATGGCTGGTGTTCTCAGGCAGAATTTGATGCACTGTGAGATGGTGGTAGCAGCAAACCTGCAAGCACCCTGGCCCACAAGGCCCTGGCCACTGTCCCAAGACAGAGACAGCTGTGTGCAACTAACCCTTCAGGCAACTTGGCAATGGACCTCTGGGTGACAGTGGCGGCAGTGGCACCCTGAGAGTCCCCACTGCTTCTTACCACTGTCACCACTACTGTGCAACACAATTTCCAAGGGAAA